CAAGGGCAGGTACACGCCATTTTTACAGGCATGATCTACAAATACAACATTTATTGTTTCACAGTGTTCATACTTGTAAATCCAAGAACTGAAATTGCTACAGAAACTTGGTGCAAGTCATACATGTCCGATCGCTCCTTGAACGTGGGTAGCTACATTTTCTTTCAGTCCGATAGACGCCATGGAATAGAAGGTAGTACAATTATCTATGTCTATTCGAGCATTCAAGCATGTAAGTTTGGGAATAAATCTCTCTATGTCATATATGACTCCATTTGGGTTACCTGAAATCGCGGACCGTGAAATTTCCTACTAGTGGGATGTGTATACCGACCAAGCCATGCGAATACTAACCTTGATAAATTGTTAGGAAGCACATTTTTCGTTGTTTCACATCAACCTCATATACTGTTAAAATCATCGAAGGAGATTTTAATTTGCGAAAACGTTACATGGACTTTTACTTCAGTACCAGAACGATGTAAAAAGTTGGTTCAAACAATATGAATTTGTGGGTTGATCCAACAGATTGGAAAGTCGAGTAGGGGGAACAGCACAGTTCAGCAAATATTTACAATCAACTTTGAGGGTGGTAGGGAGGCGATTTAATGTGTATTTATTGAGATTAACTGTTTCTTCTGTTTATATTTGCAGGGATTTGCGTTCAGTTGTGGAAAATCACCTAGGGTGGAAAGTACTACTGTTTTCAGGTGGTCGATTAGTCCAGTCAAAAGTCAGCACATTCGAATTGAGCCATTCAGCCTTTTTCCACCACGATAAGTATTCTTCATAAGACATGGTTGGAAAAAGAACAAAGATTTCGTTCTGTCTAGTTGTTTTCCACCGAAAGATCAAAGTATTACGTGTTTCAGTTTCGCGTTTGGTCTAAAAGCTAATTCAGCTTTCACCTTTGTTCACCAGCTAGGGTTGCTTTTAGAAACATCAGCAAGACTGGTACTTCAGCTACTCGAACACTCGAGAATAGGACTGTTGCCAGAGAGCTACACGAGCATAAGTTAAAAGTTATCACCTGCTCAAAATAACTTCACATAGTTCACATGGGATTGAAGGATTGATATAAAATTTGGGATTTTGTACTTAAGAAGCATGGAGCGGTCCACTAGATTGTAAAATCGACAGACAGTCGGCAGTTGACAATTGCGTCAGATCTCTACTTGCATCCTGACTGGTTCGTTTGTTCTGTTTTCAGCAATAAGGATAGTAGTTTGATGAACATGGGTCAACCCTATAGTTTGTTTTACAGTTAAGATGTAGCTCACTGATGGGACCGATACCGCTTGTTCGTGTGAAGCGTTCTAGCCAGTGACCACGCGTTGGGAAAACGGGACCTCATTCTAAGTTTGTTAGACCGCGGTTTGTGAACCTTCTTACTTTGACCTCGGGGATTATTAGTTCTGGAGGGAGAGAAAAGCCAAGACGAACTAACGTCCAAGTTGCAATTAAAGATACTAAATTACAATATAAGGTCACCTTGAGTCCTACGATACGACAAGAGGAAACTTTTCAGACGATTTAAAGGCTTTTTGTAGTGAAGTTTAAAAAGACCTTTCACTGATTTCACTTCCACATATTGAACATGTTCAAATGAGTTAGTATCCCTAATCAGACATACCTAGTTGATAGGATATAGTGCTCTAAGTATGGTCTTACATAGGCGATATATAGCGTTCGAAAATTCAAACGCTCGGCGAAGTGACCATAACTCAGGAAACTCTTTAGCAGCTGCTGCGCTGCAATGCGTAGTTGTTTTCATATCGTGATTTTCTATTACTCCTGAGTTTTTGTGTTGCTGAACGCATGGAAGAGACATACCATCGATAATACACTGGTAACAGTTACTGTGTCCGGTGTGCATGGCATACATTTTCTAGAATTAACTTCTATGCACCAACATCGAGCTCATCTAACTAATTCATCTAGGTCAGCCTGAAGATTAGAATGATCATCCCCACTTCTTATTGTTCTCCAGATTTTGGCATCATACTCAGACAATAATGTCGACGACCTAGGCAATCGCCGTAATCCATTGACATAGAGAAAGAAAAGTAAGGACCTAAAATGTTGTTTTTGGGTACACCACTTTGACCGAATTTCATCCAGATAGCGACTCATTAACCGTCACACTCTGTCTTCGACCACATAAGAAGTTTCTTATCTATTCCTGAACAGCACACGTTATTCCGAAGCTCAAGAACTCCTGCTTAAGAACTAATTGAGAAACCATACCAAAGCTCTGCTGGAGTCTACAAATATCAAATTGACAGACAGACCTTTGTCTAGGGCTGTTGCTCAATCCCCTCTCGCATTTAATAATTCGGTTAAACAATAATATTATTTCTCCACTCGTTACCTTACCTACAACTCATATACTTCCATACTTTTCCGCCTGCTTTAATAAACAAATATCCTACATTATACCCTTAATGCTTATACTCTGATTGGCAAACTATACTTTATACTATAGTCAACAGAAGCACTACATCGATGCCTTACCCACAGTCAATAACTTGTGACTGCCTGATAAGCTTGTAAAATGGTACTTATAGAAATAGTATTTTCCAACAGGTTGTGAAACACAGAGGATTGTGTGAGATATGAAATATACCCAAAAATAAGCTTAAATGAGCCTAAAATCACAGAAGCAGGGAGGGTGGAGTTACTGACCAGCAAGCATTGATGGCGAGGGCGATAACTTTAATCCACCCATGTTTGTGGGTGCAGAACACTTTGTATGTATCAGGCACTTTATGATTGAGAATAAGTCAATCAATCTGTGATATAGATGGTCTTCCTATGCTCACCACTCAAACTCATGTTCCCAATTTTATACTGGATTAGCTATTCTACTAAGACAATCTATCAAATGCTAACTCGGACTTTTGCACTAGGATTGTGTGGCTGGCATCGGATGGACAAAAGAAGAAAGAAAAAATTGGACAACAAAAGATTTAGTCATTAGTATTCTTAACACTTCACCCTCTATATGCACACTCCCTTCTAATAAGCCGCTTTCCTTGTACGAACCTTGACTTCCCTTCCTTCATGTGAGCTTACTCCAACTTGTTAAATGACAAAACTCATTGCTCTTTATTACTACATTTTCTAATATGGAGCCTCTGACTTCATTTCACTCTAGCAAGAGATAATATCAATTTAATTTAATTTATGATACCTCTGTCTTTTCTACTACACAATGTTAAGCAACGTATGGCGTTCATATCCAAGTGCATTGCTGCTCTTCTGTTTCGCTTTTTTTCTTCAGAATCTTGCTCTGAGCGCACAGCTATGAAACTTCTGACATCTGGAAAAAACTTGACGTACGCGTCCTCTCAAGGTCATGGTTTACAGCAAGCGCATTACGAGTCTACTTTATAACAACAATAAACACAATAAGTTGGGAAGCATGTTGTGCATCAACAAATGTTGTAATTTATAAATCATGCCTGTAAAAATGGCGTGTACCCGCACATGCAGAAATATATGTTATTATTATTAATATTTTTATTAATAATGCCTGTTTCAAAACCCATGTTGCTAAAGAGTCTACAAATTGTATGATTCTATGTGACCGAGTAACTTAACCTGAATTAACTTTTCAAGTAATTTAACCAGTCTACTGGTAAAACTGACAAGTCGGCAGTTAGTTATAGGCTGCTTCCACCCATATATAAATATAGGATCAATTATAACGTCTTTCTAATCCCTAGGGTGTTGAGCACGGGCAAGGGATATGTTGAACAGCATTACGAATAACACTAAAATAACGTCCACGAGAGATGACATCAATCGAGGATGTAACCCATCAGGGCCGAGTATCATACTAGGTTCGAGGTTGGTGGTAAATTGAAGAACAGCTTCTCCAGTCACTTGTAAGGTCCTATGGATTGTATCTTAGTTGTGTGATTATGACAATTATTTTTAGCAATACCTTTAGAGTAGACTTCACTGAAATGGTCTGGTAAGGCCTAAGCTTTGCCCAGATCTGATTCGGCCTGGTATATCTGAATTTTCGTGCAACGGTAATGGAGGAGTCCTAACACTACTCTCTGCTCTTTGTTTAATACGCGAAAACGAACATTTCGCTCAAGTGCGGCTTTCACACACCAACTGTCTTTCGTAAATGGTACTACAAAAAGCTATGTTCTTTTTACATAGATTTAGATAATCACACCTATATGATTCGTGTCTCATTGACAAGTACCAGGATTGTCCCCTGAGATTTAACAGCTTTTGGGTTTCCCTGTTAGTCCGCAGAAGACAATGTGATAGCCTACGTGTTGATATACGGTGATGTTACGGACTAAAACGTGACTTTAACTTTAGCCCAACCGTCTTCGATTGGTTCATCTGCACTGACTGACAAGTATGATGAGATAGTGTAGGATTATGATCCACTCCTATATTAGTACATTTATCTCCGCTACCATAATGATAGACGTAATCATAAAATTGTAGATTTGTAATGTGACTATTTAATCTTCAAGTCTTTACGAGCAAGTCCCATTATTTTCTATAGTGACTCGTCCGATCGTGACCACCGGCACTATGACGTTTAACATTTACGAAAAATAAACTTGGGGCAGAACATTTTGTTTAATTACAGCTCCTTATGGTTTAGTGGGATGTCACGAACTTAAGGCATTAATGCTGATTTATCATGCAAAAGACCTCATTAAATCGTGTTATGAACGTTGAATTGGTTTCACGTCCTTTCCAGTAATCCTATTACAAGCAAACTAGACAATTCGATAATATACGAAGCCTACTCAAGACCCTATGATACCTAAAACGAATAATAATAATAATAATGATACAAAAATAAGATGAAAAGGGCTCCAACAGCCTCCATAAAAAAGAAAGATAGTCAACTAAATATCACAATACTGTTTTTAGCACTATATTTTATGACCACACATAATCTCATACTTTCAGCTCCTTTCTGAATCCCCTCCATTTGTCAGTTGTATATCCACTCATACCTTGTTAACACTTATTTTCTTTAACCTATTAAAATGCTCTTCCTTAACAAATACCTTAATAAAAGAAAATTGGACTGAGTAATCATACCTTAAACATTCCTTCATGAATATTGGCTACTCTGCCTCTCGTGTTCTCTTTTACTTGCTCCCTCTTTCAGCCCCCTTGAGATATGGAACGGGTGACTTCATCCTCCACCATCCTTAAAGCCTTAGATATTCCAAAGGGACATAAGGTTGCGATTTCTAGAAGCTCCCACCTTCAATGGACCTATCCTTGACCATCAGTTGCACATTCGCAACGCAACTTTCATAAAGCGCGCCAACGGTGATACTGACTAAAACCCTCTATATTCATATCTTTTAAATTATCAACCCAGCTGAGTAATTTACTACAGTGGATATTGTATCATTTGTAAAAATTGGACTTGCCTGTAAACTGGCCTGCCTCATGCAACAAACTGTTATTTGAGAATAAATTATTATTATTATTTTGAAAGAGAGTAATATATTCAGTGCAAATACAAGAGGTTACATGGAGTAACCACACCCGCATGACCGAGGCAAGCCATTTTAATTATTTGTTCCTGAGTTCACCATTACTAACCTCCCTCAAGTGTTAAATGTTTCACGTCTATCATCTTATATATTATGAATTCAACTTCAAGGATCGTTTGGTTATGAACCAATATCAACATAGACGTTCCTCTAGTTGTCGCTTCACCAACGATAGAAGAATTCAGGATGGCTATCAGACAAGTTAGTTTAAGAAGGCAACAGTGTTACAGGAGAACTAAAGACCTTTGGCAGGTTAAAGCTTTTTTATTGTATATTAATAATTTACTGTTTTTGGATGTATTTGTTGAACTTGTTTGTTTATATCATTATTTCGGACGTTTTGGTTTCCCTTTGTCGTTGGTTTGGCATTTGGTAGTTTTGCTCCGGGAACCTACAAAATTGAAGGGTCGTTTTGTAATTGTTATAATTATTGTTGTTAGAACGACATTTGGTCGACTATTTGTGAATTGCGAATAAACTTGGTATCTAAAATGGAGTTTGGTCCTGTTGTTAATTTTGGTTCGTAATTTGCGAGTAGATCGATAGTCCGTACTTCAATAACTGGGACGGGCAAAACTTGCACGTTACAAACAGCACCTGACAATATACCAGCAGAAGCAACGAAGCAACTGCAAACACATTCTATTCAAGTAGATTTGGGAGGAGGAACAATTGCTGACGAACTGAGGGGAAGGACGCCTCATCAAATACCAAGGAAAAAAGACCTGAGCAAATTTGGAAACTATAGAAGAATAATACTACTATCGGTACCAGGAGACGTTTTCAACAAAATGTTGCTGAACCGGGTGAAAGACTCAGTAGATGCATAACTTCGAGATCAACAGGCTGCATTCCGTAAGATTGGTTATGCACAGGCCAAATCTCAACGATACGGATCACTGTTGAACAATCAGTTGAGCGGAACTCGTCCCTATACACCAACTTCATTGACTATGAGGCGTTTGACAGTGCGGATAGAGGAACATTATGGGACCTTGTTCGACACCATGATTCACCTGAGAAGATCGTTAATATCATACGGAATTCATTCGACGAACTATAGTGGCATTCGGCCCTTACCAAACAATCCCCAATGCTCAACACGAGACACTCGGTAAAATAGATGTTCAACATCTAACGCGGGGAGAAACCCAGCGACGGAGAAAGCGAGAACAATGAATGGCATGAGTTCGAGTCCATCGTATGGCAGGGCTAGAACTTGCAGGCGTGGTCATTACTGAGTGTTAACATATGCCTTCTATTCATATTAAATATATTGTTCTATATCTAGGGTGTGTTATTCATCATATATTGATGACTATTACGACGCGATGAACTGGTGTAGATAATAATGTGACTTTCACGCAAGATTATATAGATAAGGCAGTTACACCGTGACAAATCTACAATTTTAGGATAAGGTCTATTGCTAGAGCGGTAATAATATAACAGAAGACCATAATTCTACAGAACGACACTGAAATGTCGTGCATGGAGGACAGCTGACAGATGAATACAAAGTGAAGATTGGACTCAGATAAGACTGCTTACTCTCTCCCTCTTTCTTCAGGTGGTTGACTGGATTATGTAAACCTCAACTTCTGAGGGGAAGCACGGAATAAAACGGACAAGTTGGATGCAACTAGACGATTTGGAATTCGCAGATTACTTAGCCCTTCTATACCATATAGACCAACAAATGGAGATGAAAATAGCTAATGTGGCAGCAGCCTCTGCACCAGTAGACCTCAACATACATACCGGGAAAAGCAAGATACTCAAATACATCACGGGGAACACTAACCCAATCGCAAATCGATGGACGTGGAGGATCTGATGCAGACGTAAGGGCGAGGGTTGGAAAAGCAAGGACAGCACTCCTACAGTTGGAGAACATGTAAAACTCAAAACAACTGCTAACCAATATCAAAGTCAGAATCTTCAATACAGTCCTACTGAACGGAGCTGAAACGTGGAGAACAACTACAATCATCATCAAAAATGTACGAGTACTTATGAACAGTTGTCTACGCAAGATACTCAATGTCCGTTGATGACTGGATACCATGAGCAACAGCCACTGTGGGAGAGAACTAACTAACTTCTATCTGAAGAGGAAACTAGGAAAAGACGTTGGAACTGATTCAGACATACACTTTGGAAGTCATCAGACTGGAGACAACTGCGAACGATTGCCCAGGTTAATGCTGTTGGTCGGTCTACGCCCCTCAACGAGGGGTGACAGGCAAATCCAGCGAAACTGTCTGCACCGAAATGTCTGGGTTAATGGTCGTAAGCACTCGTCTTAAGACATATTTCGTTTGTGTCCCGTCCTACAAATGGCAGCAGTTGGGGGTCATCACAACCTGCTACACTAGCCAACGGTAGTTGAATCCTACTTATCAAATACACAAACAGCCTGTTCACCCACATCACAACAATTATAGTGGAGTTGGATACAAATATCTGTGGCGATTACTATTTGTAACATACGTACGGATTGTTAATTGGGAACTAAAATAGTCAGTGATTGGAATACGATGCACTAATAAGTCACAATCACTGGTGATATTACAAATGGATTTAGGAAGTATACAGTTAAATGAAGGAAGTTTAACATGGAGCAGATGGGGTGAGAACGTTATAGATGGAACTGGAAGACCGATAAAGGGGATTCTGCAATAAACAAACGGCATTATTAGTCAGGATAGGCAAACAAAGAACGGTAAATTGCATGATTCAACAACTAGACACATTAAGCTATGGCAATAATGAAACGATAGAAGCTCAAGATTGCATGGTTAATAGTGTTAATTGTCCGGACAATCAATGACTTCCATCGTGTCACTTCGGCAACTACCTCGTATTCTGAATCGTGTGTTCGAACGTGACGTCGAATCGCGACACAACGCTGAAGCACAGTGTATAGAAGGCATAAATGAGTGGTAAACGTAACAGCAATGTCTAATTGCAAAGTGATCAGTCTTCACTAGCAAGGATAGAAGATCTGTAGAATTATGGTCTACCTCGTTATTAGTACGGCCCTAATAATAAACCCGATCCAAAAGTTGTAAATTTGTCATGATGTTACTACTCAATCTTTAAGATCTTACTCGGATGTCGCATAATTGTCTACACTGGATCGTCCGATCGTAATGATCACCAATATATGACAGAGAACACATTTAGGCTGGAGATAGGACAATATATTTAACATGAACAAAAGAGACAAGTTATACAGAATGACCACACCTACATGGCCGAACCATAACATCCGATGAATTGAATTAATTCTACCGCGTTCTCGGTAGTTAAATTTATCTTTGTGTCAACTGTTGAGTAATTACATGCTTGGCATCAAACGTTTTGTAGTTCGAGTCCAATGGCACTACAGATCAATCGACAAATGTTAATCCGTGCAGCTCAAATCACAGTTAAGGTTCAATATTCCTTTTATTGCATCGACAGCGTATGCTGATATTACGTATTCTGGAAAACGTGACCTACTTTATGAAAAGAACGCAATTGGTATAATGGAAACAATTATTATTACAACCAACTGTACCACTGATTGTTTTACTGTATCTGTTTGTTTAAGTGTATGAAAAAACACTCTTTTCCGTCGTCTGTGACTTCTCACAAACTCTCGTACGCTCAGTAGTCTCACATGTAGATTTTAGCACGATCTCGGTATTATTTTGTTACCACGAGATCGCCAACAAATACATCTTAACTACAACCTTTAAATGCCTTCTGATATCTGACCTACGGCGGGGCCCAATCTGTAACTGGCACGTCTTCCTGTAGTGGTGATCATAGTCAACCACGAGTCAATGTCTAATACAGACCATACCAGTAATTCACTACTTGCTGCTTGGAACTGTACTGCAGACGAAAATTGTTTGATCTAGGTTTACAAAATTTGTGTGAATGTTAGTCTTAGTTTGAAGCGAAAGATAAGGAATATTAATACCAAGATCATCATTTAGTATACGGTGAGCAAGAGGTTCAGTAACCATAGTCTTCGAACCAATATCGTCAGGATCATTGAAAACATCTGGTTAGAAATTTCAAACAAATCGTGAAATAACTCCGATAAAGCTTCAGCTCCTGCAACATCATTTCTTACTAATGATATTTACGTACCGAAATTGGTGGGACTCCGTCACCTATCTGAGTTCGCCTCTTCATACACGATAACTACTTTCACAATCCCTAACCAATCGTTCTTTTTATGGATGACCACCCTTACTTATCAACTCTTTGAATGAGTTTCTAGTCTCACAATAAAAATGTCCGCGCTGTTTACATGCTGTACAGATACATACTTCAATGCTTTTTCCAAAATCTAAGAAGTCTTTTTAACCCGCTTGTTTATCTGTAGTGTGGAGTTAATATTATACGTAGCAATAAGCCAGATATTAACAGAGACATAACTAATCTTATTGTACATTTGAATATGGACTATGTCTCATCAGTTGACAAGTTTGTATTCCCTGGTCAGTTTTTGTTGCAGCACAATCCCGAATGGATGTTATACTT